CCTTGTCGTTCGACTTGGGGGGGGCCGAGAGCGCCGCGCGCTCTGCGAACCCCTTCGACACGCACAAGGGCGCGGGCGGCCCCAGCAGCCACGCCAAGTATGGGGCGGTCGACTTCATCTCGGCGGCGCGCCGAGGGGGGAAGTGAGAGGGGGGAGGCCTTCTCAGACGGCGGCGGGGCCTCTCAGAAAGAAGCCCTCGGGCCTCCTGAGAAGCCCTCCCTGGGGTCCGACGTCACGAAGAAAGTGCGCAACATCGCAAAAACTCACGGCCAGAGCCCCGGACCCCATCGTTCTGCGTCATTTTTCGAGCTGGATCGATCTGTGAGGGTCGTCCTGGGGCCCGACGCTGTTCGAAGACGCCCGGCCCGAAAAGAGTCCGACGCCAGGATCCCAGGGCTCTGTGGTTTCGGAGAAGGCTCAGAAGTCTTCTCGGAAGGTCCGGAGGCATTCTGAGCCTTCTCCGAGAGCCCGCCCCCTGTGCCTCCCCCCTGGGCGTGCCGGCGATCGTCTCCAGGCTGGAGTTCAACACCGATGCTAGGATGGAGAGCCGTGAGGACGCCACGCTCAAGAGGTGAGGAGCTTTGGCTTCCGCCCGGAGATCCGAGGACATGTTTTTTTCAATGCGGCGGGTTTTCCTGGATTTCCGTCCCCGGGGCCCGTTCTCGAGCCCAGGGACCAAAAATGGATCCGGGACGACAAACCACCCCTGGGGAAGGGGTCGGGACCTCTGGGGCCGCGGATTGAACAAATCATATCGGCGGATGTCTGAGGGGTGGAGCTCGACAGCGGCGACCAGGGGGGCGGAGAGCTGTGGGGACGCCGCGCGAGGCGAGAAAGTTCGCGCGGGCAGTGGGAGGGGATGGGCGGGGGGCAAGTGCGTGGGAGGTGCAACCGGGGATCTGGGGCGCGGGGAGGCCAGGCCGCTTCTGCGCGCCGCGCTGGTGCGCCAGTAAGTGCGAGGACGCCGCGCGTCTCGCTGCCGTTCAACAAGACTGCGCGTGCATGTGTGCCGCCATCCAAGGCGGTGGGTGCAATTCACGCTTCCCTGCACGCCGACTCGCTCTGCGCTGGCCCCCACCTGCAACGTCTGGAGGTAATTCTGGCGGCAGTTAATGTCCTTTGCTGCCACCTCGCCGAAGGAGGAGCAAAATGCTTGTGTGTGTGCGTGTGTGTGTGTGTGTGAGTGTGTGAGTGTTTGAGTGTGTGAGTGTGTGAGTGTTTGAGTGTGTGAGTGTGTGAATGTGTGTGTGCGTGTGGGAGGGGGGGTGCGTGCGCGCGTGCGTGCGTGTGTATGTGTATGTGTATGTGTATGTGTGTGTATGTGCGTGTGCGTGTGCGTGTGCGTGTGCGCGCGTGTGCGTGTGCGTGTGCGTGTGCGTGTGCGTGTGCGTGTGTGCGTGTGCGTGTGCGTGTGCGTGTGCGTGTGCGTCTGCGCGTGTGCGTGTGCGTGTGCGCGCGTGCGTGTGTATGTGTATGTGTATGTGTATGTGTATGTGTATGTGTATGTGTATGTGTGTATGTGTGTATGTGTGTATGTGTGTATGTGTGTATGTGTGTATGTGTGTATGAGTGTGTATGTGTGTATGTGTGTATGTGTGTATGTGTGTATGTGTGTGTGTGCGTGTGTGCGTGTGCGTGTGCGTGTGCGTATGTGCGTATGTGCGTATGGGCGTATGGGCGTATGGGCGTATGTGCGTATGTGCGTATGTGCGTCTGTGCGTCTGTGCGTCTGTGCGTATGTGCGTATGTGCGTATGTGCGTATGTGCGTACGTGCGTATGTGCGTATGTGCGTATGTGCGTATGTGCGTATGTGCGTCTGAGCGTCTGTGCGTCTGTGCGTCTGTGCGTCTGTGCGTCTGTGCGTCTGTGCGTCTGTGCGTCTGTGCGTCTGTGCGTCTGTGCGTCTGTGCGTCTGTGCATATGTGCGTATGTGCGTATTCGCGTATTCGCGTATTCGCGTGCGCGTGCGCGTGTGTGCGTGCGTGTGTGCGTGTACGTGTACGTGTGCGTGTGCGTGTGCTTGTGCGTGTGCGCGTGTGCGTGTGTGCGTGTGTGCGTGTGCGCGTGTGCGCGTGTGCGCGGGTGTGTGCGTGTGCGCGTGTGCGCGTGTGCGCGTGTGTGCGTGTGTGCGTGTGTGCGTGTGTGCGTGCGTGCCCGCGTGCGTGCGTGCGTGCGTGCGTGCGTGCCTGCGTGCGTGCGTGCGTGTGTGTGTGTGTGTGTGAATGTGTGTGAGTGTGTGTGTGTGTGTGTGTGTGTGCGGGTGCGCGTGCGCGTGCGCGCGCGCGTGTGTGTGTGTGTGTGTGTGTGTGTGTGTGTGTGTGTGTGTGTGTGTGCGTTCTCCAAGGCGATATTTGGGATCCAGAGCGGCGACAGGCGAAAGCCTGAGACCCGTTCCGTTTTCCTGCGCCACTAGGCCATTCGGGGTTCGATGTGCATTGAAGGACCGTCAGCGCTTCCTTGAGCGTCCATGCGGAAGAGCGGGTTCCAGTGGGCTCGACCTCGAGCCGTGCGCCCACTGGAGAAAAAGTGTGTCCCTCCGCGCTGGGACAAGATACAGCACAATAGGGTCAGACTCCACATACTAGTGAAGCCGTCATCCGCGAACGCTGCCAGCACGGGCTCCTGGGCACACACCTCGTGGAGTGGGGAGAGGGTATTGGTCCTCGGCGGGGAGGGGGATTGTTCATGAGGACTGAAGGCAGAGACAGAGCGGTCCCTATCGAGACGATTGTCCGCTACCGCCGCGGCTCAAGTTCGATAGGATTTTTGCCCACGAGCCCATCAACAGACCACCCATGGTCGGGATCGGTGCACAAACAGTGCCGAACGCATTGTCTCAAGGAGCACTTGAGTGCGTCGAAAGCGCACGGGAGAAGGTTATTGTTTTTTTCTCGAGGGAGGGGAGCGGGGGAGGAGGCGGAGACAGGAAGAGGAAGAGGAGAAGAAGGCGGAAGAGAAAAACAAAAAGGAAACCTCATCCTGGCTTATCGTCCGAAAGTGGTCCTGACGCCTGCAACGACAACCTTCTCGTTGATACATTGCTCGTCGATCTTCTCATTCTTCCTCTTGGGCTCCGTGATCTTGTTCTTCTTGAACAGCTTGCTAATGACTTGCGATACGTTGCGATTGCCCAATGAACTCGCGATGGCTTCCTTGACCGTCGACTTCTTCCCATCCTCGAGCTCGAAGATGCACTCAAACTGCGTCACCACAACATGCGCTTGATATTGGTGAGGTCGTCGCTGCCAACTCCACTGGGTGGGGCTGGCGTCGGGGAGGCCACCGGCGCCGAGGCTGGTGATGGCATTGGACTGTTGCCAGGTCCTGCAGCACGCGGCGGTGTGTGGATCTGGACACCATTCTCCTGGAAGGCGCGGTCAATGGACTCCTGCATCGCCCTGGCCATGATCTACCCCTGCCGACGCACCTCGATGTCACGAAGCTCCTGCTCACGCTGGTCAATGAGAGCAGCGTACGAGGGGTCGTGCTTGTACATCCAGCGCTTGTGCTTCTCCAGCTGTCGTGCTTCCTGGCCATCCCTCGACTCTGATGATGAACTCGAGCGTGGTCGTCGGTTCCTGTGTCTGTCCCGATCACGATCCCGATAACGCTGGCCCCTGTGGTAGCGGTCGCGGTCACGGTCACGATCCCCTGAACGACAACCACCTTTTCCTCCATCGGAGAACTCGGCTTGCTCCTCCTTTGCCCATGAGCACAGACCTCTGTGCGTCCAGTTCCACCGTGGCCCGAATCCAGGATCTGAGACTTTCTCGAGCCAAGCGGACGGTGCGATCGTTGGGTAGGGGGTGCACGAGAGCTCGGAGGATATATTTGGGGTACCCTAGCAAGAGCAGTTCCAATAAATATTCTTGGATATGTACCAACGTAGTGAGGCGACCAAGCTGTAAACGGCGGGCCCGACACATGCGACCGATGAGGACCCCGCGGAGCACACCGAACGGCGTAGGCAGGGCCCCGACCCACAGAATCGTGTTCGTGCGAGCGCGGTCCCGAACCTCAGGCCACGAGTACAACCACGGGCGATTCACATTCTCAGGAATGATCTGCAAGCTATAAGCACATACACGGCACGATATATCAGACCAATCAAGAGGTATTTGCGGATGTCCGTCAGAGGTGACTATTACATTCAAGGACTCCTCAAAAACTCTTTGTATATACAAAACCATACAGGAACAGCATGCACCCAGACTTTCAGCCAACAAATCGTCCACGTAACGACTCCAGCAAATCGTCCTCCTGGGATCAGGCAATCCAGGCGATACGACCGATTCCCGAGCACGACCTTCTTCCGAACCAAGCTTGACCGAAACCGCTGGAGCCGACATGACTCCACCTATAGCCATCCCAGCCATTTCCAAAGCCACCTCCCCTATCATAACTCGGGTCTGATACGAAGCAATAGCTAGAGACCCCCGGAGCATCGATAACGACAAAGCCCACCAGCCACGACCGTACTGCCTCGTGGCCGCCCCGTGCCTGGCGATGAAACGTTCCCCTCGACGAATGAGAAGTCGGTCCTGGCCTCCGCTCGCACGATATTGGCGAGCAACATAGTCCCAGGCAGTGATGATCGAGCTGGCTCTGCAGCTCTCGAAAGCTTTGTCGATGTCCACGAGTACTATGTGTAGCCTTGGATCCATAGGGCGCTGGCAGCACATGCACACAGATGGGTTCGTTGGATTCTCCGGCGACAGCAAAGACTCTGCGAGGTATTACCTCGCATGTTTGATGCAGAAAATCTCGCGTGAAACTCCAGACTCGTCGACGACCGATCAGATCCCCCTGGCAGCGACCTTCCATCCAGATGCATGCGGAGTCCCCGACATGTCCAGAATCCGACGCGAGTGTGAGTGCCCCTTCTTCTTGTACATCAGCTTATTCTTGTACATGAGCTCCCCCGAGTCCGAATAACACTAGCTTTTGACCAGAGGAAACAACAGCAGTGGAAGAAAGCTTCCGCCCAGGACGCCCAGGT